AAAGTATAAAAAGTTATGGGCCGGGGATTTAGCTCAGGGGTACTGCCGCCTGCCTCACAAGCACAAGGGCCTGAGTTCAATCCCCGATACCAAAAAAAAAAAGTCATATTCACTGATATCACCAACAATTTTATCAGTAAAGTCTTTAAAGTACACAGAAGAAAAACAAAGCCAAAAAAATTAAAAGTAAAAATATATACAAAAACAAAGAAAAGTACTCAGAAGCTCTAAAGCCCTCTGTTGTAGTTATGAGTTTTCAAAATTTTCAGTTTTCCCTGGAATGATTTTTATTAATGGCAACAAATACTATCAACTGTTTTCCTTTAAGTGACAGATTCACTGCATCCATTTTCAAAAAAATATCTGCTAAACCTCCAAATCTGAATAACCACAGTTCCTCACTCAGTCTTTCAGGTAAAAATGACGCTCCATGATAAAAGTACCTAGTTCTGCTTGCAAGTCACAGAACCACACAGTGCCTCATCTTTGCAATCAACCATTCACTGTACTTTGGTATGTAGCAGAAATGCTTTATATGTATGCCCCTGTTTTGACAGATACAATATTTTAAAATGTGAGATTTAGTAACTTTTACTGCTTCATCAAGGATATCACTGCATGTGCATGGCGGTGAGTATTATAAGGAATTCAGCAATTTGGTGCCATTCCTTTGATTCACAGTAAGGTACTAACAGTTTTACTCACTGAACTCTGCACTACCCCTACAAGTGTTAACATAGTGAAAGGCAGATAACAGCTTAATATTACCATGAAAATCACTTGGACCTCCTACTTAACTCAGGGACCCCTCTAGTTCTTCAAGCTACACTGTGAAAACCATCACTAGACTATCCAAAACTAATCATTTTCACAATTTCTCTGCAAACAATGATTTGATTAGAGGAATCCAAGATAAAAGCAGATGGTAAACAAGAAACCTCCTAGAATAAGGAGTTTCTGAACAACAAGTAAGTGGCTTCTGGGATGGTTCCTCAGGTAGGGGAGGATCAAGAACTATGAATTTCTAAAACACGGACTTACTTTGATGGCCCGTTTTTCTCTCATTCTCATACCAACAGTCTATGAGAACTCTATCAAGCTACAAATTAAAAGAAAGAAAACAAGTATGACAAGACAATAATGATGACTAGGCATGTCTGTAATCCCAGCACTCAGCAGATGGAGGCAGGAAGATCTCAAGTTCAAGGCCAGCCTGGGCTATATGTCAAGACCCTTGTCTCAGATAAACAAATAAATAAACAAACAAATTAAAATTTAAAACTTTAAGAAAATAAAAGAGAATGATACTGAAAAGATTTTCATCAGATAATAGTGGAGTTTCTTCGAAATGTGAACTTTACAGTTTACTCCCATTTTTATAGAAACTAAATTCTTTTTACCAATAGTCAGATCCTAACCACAATACTGTGTTGAGTTGTATTTTTTTTACAGAGAAGTTTCACCTCTTTGTTTCATATTTGAAAGAAAGATGTTCTAATACTACCTCACATATAAAATTTGATGTAGTTCAAAGCGCTTCTCATTTGACAAGAAAATCATTAAACTTTACAAAGAAACATCTATTTGCTTACCACTGTGCATCCAGCACCTAGCTCAGCCCTTTTACAAAATGCTCAGTAAAGACCTGCTGAATGTTGCAGTAATTCAAATGAAATATAAACCCCAGTAACAGACCCTAGTATTAGACCCACTGCTCTTTCTACTGTGTGATATCTTTTCCACAGCTCTCTAACACCTACGAGAGCCTTAATGGAACTATCACAACATACACTGAGAAAATAAAATATTACCTAGTATACTGAAAAGTCTCCTGTAGAGTAGGTATTATTTAATAGGTTCTCATTTAGACCACAGCTTAAAACCAAACCAGCACTATTGTTTTTATCCCTAAATGCTTGCTACCTGAATTAAAGCAACAAATCGATTTTCCATTCCTACATAAAAGGACAATAAGGTACAACTCAACTCAATCATCATACATTGATCACTACCTTCACACAGACTACCCTAAATATTTCATTCTCTGATGATTCAGAATGGTTAATTTTCTAAAATGTAGACACTTTACTGCCTTAAAAAGAACTTCAGATAAAAAGGAGACTGAGCACTATGGCATCCTTTTTTCTTTTTAAAATATTCCCTGTCAGTTTGACATTTGTCACTATTTCCAATAGAAACACAGCACAGAAAATTTCGAGTACTTGAACTCTTATATTTAGTCTAGATTTTAAAGAGATTAATCAATTTTAAACTAATTAAAACCACCACTAAGTATAAAACTGGAATTTAATCATAGAAACGGCACAAAATTAAAGAATATAATTTATCAATTGAGGGACTGAACTTACGTCAAATTACATTTTATTCTGATTTACATGCTATGAATGAAACCTCATTCCACAGAATGAGGCGACCTGCCCAAGATATGGCCAGATGAAATGGTCTTCTGTTGTAATATAAAGCATTTGAACTAGATACCCTTTAAAAAAAAAAAAAGAAAAGAAAAAGAAAGAAAAGAAACTTAAAAGGGAGACCATAGACTCCATCTTCTCTGGTGGCTTAGAAAGAAAAGAATGTTTCGAATCTCTAAGCCTAGACTTGGCCTCACAGTTGGCAATTGGGACAAAATCAGTTCAGAGGTCAGCCTGACCCCAGAGATTTATATCCCATCTGTTGGTGATACAAACAAGCCATTAGCAAACCATACCCTTCTGTTGCTCTGCAGCTACCCAGTCCCTGCTGTGGTTTTCACCCACCTTATCCCTGAAATTACCCTAGGTGCTAATTAACATGTCAGCTATGGAGAAGCATTCTTCCAACTACTGCAACTTTTGCTTCTCCAGTGTTCTTTCATCCTTCAATTGTTCTCCTAACGTTAGCAGTGAGGGAAATACTTTGCAGTACATTCAATATCTGCCCTGTCCCATTTTTCTACCCAAACATGGATTCCACTCTCAATTTCAGAATAAGCAGTAGGAAAACAACAGATAACAGAGAAATTAGAGCTCTTAGGCTTAACTTAGGGCCACAGTCAAAAGAGAAGAGATAATTCAGAAAGAGGAAGGAAAAATCTAAGAGGTTCATAGTGCAGAACACTTACTTTTAGGAACAGAGTGTCCCTTAGACTTCTGGTGAGTTGCCCAGAGCCTCTTCAGTTTCAATCCAAATGACAATGCTCCTTTGAGTCCTTCTCAAGTACTGTTTCCACCACTAAAAATTCGATCTACAAGAGCTCGGATGTACTGGTAAAAAATGTCAGGGGCCCCCATGTGGGCCTCAAGCCTCTTTTTAAGTAGGCCCACTTCTCTGTCCTGGGCCAACTCCCCTGTGCACTATCATCCTTCTTCTTCCAGGTGCCAGGTATTCAGCCTGTTTCTTCTCTTCTGAGCTGCCACCACCTACTCTATTTCTCAGGGTTCCTCTAACCCCAAGACTGGCTGTGGAGTAGGACACCAGCTTCCCCCCTTCCTTGCTGTCCCTGCAAATAAACATATAGGCTCTTCTAGTTTCAGTATTTTTCTAATGGCTATAAGAAAATAGAGAGGGAACAACAAAAAGCAACAATATAGTACCAGAGATTAAGATTACAATAATTGTCTTCATATTAAAGTTCCTGCCTCCAAAATTTAAATTTTCTAAATATTTTGTATTGAGCACTATAAAAAATACAAACTACTAACACATAGATAAACAAATATACTCTAAACCAAATCCAACCTTATATAAAGATACTCTGCTTTTCTAAATAACATACTTAAAACACGGGTCCAAAAAATAGCAAACAGGTAATTCTTTTCTTTTTAGAATGTTCTCTCATCATCTATTGAATTTAGTACACGTTTAAAAGCTTGCTTTATAATGAGTATCAGAAAAATGTTCAAAGCATTTTATCCAATGTAAATGGAAATTCATATACGAAAAGCACATTATGATTTACAAAAAGACAAGCATGTCAAAAGTAGCTGATCTTAAAATTTTGAGAAAAATCTTAAAAATCTTGAGATTCCATCTCTAATTCTAAAGTTTTAATTTTATAAATGGTGTTTAAAATCAGAATGCCTCATTTTCAGACATGTTAGTGAACATTTATAACAACGTCAAAATTACACTGGCTCTCTCTTTTAAAGTAACAGTAAACTTGGCAGTGTGTTATTGTGATAATTTAGACTCCAACAGACCTTATAATATCAAAAGGTATTTTATCAAATATTAAGCTATGAAGCAGGGGATTATAATGAAATTAATTAAGCAGTTACATTCCTATAAAGGCAAAGGAATTCTAAGTGCTGGGAGATCAGGAATGACACTGACTGGATTTCCTGCATGATTTTTTTAGCCACTTAATTCATTTAAGTAGTTTTTTTTTTTTTAAGACAGGTACAACTTAAAACCAAAAACAGATCATTTTATCTCATTTGTCTAGGGGACTGCCATTTAATCAAACTAAAGAAATTCAGATACTTTAAAAAACATGTTCCAGTGACTATGCTAACGTCTACTTACTTACAGAACATTAGAGACCTGGAATAAAAACATGAAACAAAACCTCAGCATGACTCTTCCAGACGTCCATACATTAAAAAAGAAGTTTAATCTACTGTGTATTCTACACTCAGATACGTTTTTCCCCTTAGGACTGAAATCAAATTACATCCTTTGCTCCTAAAGAGGATTTCACGCTCTCTCCTTGGCTCCCGTACTCTAACACAACAATGCAGCCACCGTTCGGAAGCCCGGCGTGGGGAGGGGGCATTACACTCAGAGACACGAATTAAATCGCACTAGCTAATGCCTCCCCTCAATAATTCACTCTCCCCCGGCAGCAGAAAAAACCAAACCGCTACAGCCTCTTCAATCGCCCTCGCCACAAACCGTGGCGCGGGTGGCGGTCAATGGGACCGGGGCCCACGGCGCCCCCAACCCGGCCTGGCGCTCCCGCGGGGCGGCGTGTAGCGGGCGGGCAGGCGGGCGGGACTCACCGGGTGGAGGTGCCCTTCCGCACATCGCACATCATGCACTTGAAGGCCTCGGCGCTGTTCCGGAAGGTGCAGACGCTGCAGTCCCAGTAGCCCTCATCCGAGGACGGCTTCGGCTGCCGCTTCGGCCTGCAGGACACAACCCGGACACGACGCAGCGCGGGGTCACCACAGGGCGCGCCCGGGCCCGCGGCCGCCCGCCCCGCCCCCAGGTCCGCGCCCCCCGCCCGCGGGCCCCCGGCGGCCGCTCGCGCGAGCTCGGTGAGGACGGCGGCCCTGACACCCGGGGTGACGCCCGCGCCGCCGCCATCGCGGCCCCATTGTGGGGCTGCCGCCGCCGGCGGCCCCTCACGCGGCAGCGCTCGGCCGGCGGAGTCGCCCCCGTCCTCGGCCGGGGCTAAGCGGCGAGCGCGGCGGCCCAATCTGCCCGAGGCCCTGCCGGCCCCGAGCGCGGGCACCGCGGCTCGCTCACCTGGTGGGGCTCTTCTTGTCTCCCATGGCTCGGCTCCCAACCAAGCTCAGAGGCGCAGCCGCGGCCGCGGTGTTTGTCAATAAGGAGGGCGAGCAGCCGGGCGGAAGCGGGCGGGGAGAAGGAGGGGTGGGGAGGCCGCGCCGCGAGCTCGCGAGCCACCGCCGGAGCCCACGCAGCCGCCAGCTGTCGGGGAAACTCCGGCTCGACCACGTGACCCGCGCGAGCCAACTGCCGCCCGCGCCGGAGACTTCAAACGCGGCCAGCGCGGCTTGGCGCCTCGGCTAGCTCGCGCGCGGGCGGGAGGGGTGGCGCTGCGGTCTCGGGCGCCACTGCTTCCCCCGAGTGCGGCCAGCCGGCCCGGCGCGCGCTCCTGAGCCTGAGCCGGGGAGCGCGGGGCCGCTCGGTCCTCCCCTGCCAAGCCTGCTCCACGATGCGGTCGGCAAGGACGCCAGGTCTTGGCCTCCCCGGCCACTCAGTCCCCTCCCTCCCCCCAGGGTACCTGCAGAAGGACAGAACCTACACTGAGCGCCCTCGCCAGGTGCCCCACACGCTGCCTTACCCACACAAATACTTCATCAAGTAGGGATTGTCACCCTTAATTTAGCAGAAACGAAACCGTAGCTCCAGAGAGGTTAGTTGACTTCCCATGGGTTACATAATTAGAAAATGACAAGGCCAGGAGTGTAATCCCGGGTTAATTCCAAAAGCGTCTTTTTTGGCCTCACAGGAGTCTGCCGTAGCTTCTTTTAGAAGAAAAGGGGGGTCGGGGATTTAGCTCAGTGGTTCCAGCGTCTGCCTTGCAAGCGCAAGGTCCCGAGTTCAATCCCCGGTACCAATAAAATAAAGAAAAGAAAAGGCATGCACATAGTCCTTTGGATAAAAACGAGTTTGCGTAAACCCTGACACTGTTGACCAAGGAAAGAATATTTGCCTCGCAGGTCTCATGAGTTCAATGTCCTAGAGACCCTCATCTAGTACACACTAGATTATCAGCCATCTAACGGGACAGAGCTCCAATCCCGCCTCTCCAATCTATTTGGTAATCCACAACCAGATAAAAGATAAAATGCTGGTAACATTATATCACCAGGTTTATCAACCAGGTTTATCAAGAACGAAGGGCTCCTAGACTCCTCAGCCTGGCATTCTAGGCCTTCCATGCATTCTTCACTACCTCACCATCAGAAAACTGCCTCCTGGTAAAATGAAATTCATTCTCTCCCCCAGAATCATTCCCTTCTTTGTGCACAGGCTTACTTCTGCATAAACTACAGTATTTCCCTCTTCTGTCTATACTGTTTGTGCCTATCTTTCCGAGCTTATATCAGGTTCACCTCAAGCCCAGGTCCTCAAATAACAATTGTATAGCTAACTAAACAACAAAGGAAATACAGTAGCCAGAAGGCCGGTGTTCTCAGCTTGTTTCCCTTTCCCTTATCTGATAAACTTTGGACATTTTGATTAATTTCTATAATTCTCAAATTCTTCATCGATCAAAATGGCATCTGTATGAGGTGGTTGTGTGGAGCACTATTAGCCAAGGACTTTGTAAACCTTATGTGTATGTATTAAAGACTTCAAAGTACTCTGCAAATTTTCTCATAAAGTAATCTAACCTTTCATTTTAAAGACAAAGAATTTAGGGTCCGGGTTAAATGGCTTTTCTTTAATGTAAAGGCCGGGATTAGAGCTCAGGAATCCTATTAGTCTTTTACCAAACCGTGCTTTCTGATGAACCAGCTCATCCCAGGTGATACCGGTCTCTGCCCTCTTTGCAGCACCTGTACTTTTTACAAATGTCACTTTTTGTGTCTCAGATCCAGTGATTAAAGAAACCCAGAAAACATGAATATGATTAAGAAAATGTCCAAGAGAAAGAGAGCCACAGCCTGTTCTTAATCTCTTGCAATGGGTAATGGGTAAATTTAGCTATAAGTCACTTCATTTTTTCATCTGTAAGAGTTAAAGCTATTATCACAACTAAATCCCTTCCAAGTCTAAGAAATTGTGGGTTTTGGTTTTTGTGTGTGCGTGTGTGTGGTTTTGCAATAGAACCTAGGGCCTTATGTTCATAAATCGAGCACTCTACCAATGACTTGCATCCCCAAACCATTACGATATTTTAAAATTCCTCATTTGGAAGAATTATCAAGGAGGCGATACAAAAACTGCTCTACTTGCAAAAGCCACAGCAGTAATGGTTTTTTGGGTTTTTTTGTTTTGCTTTGTTTTGTTTTGTTGTAATGCTGGGGATGAAGCATACTTGGCAAGCACTCTACCGCAGAACTACACCCCTGTCCAACAAGGTATTTTGAATCAAAAGAAAGTTAAACACTAAAAAATTCCAGATGCTGTAAGTACCAGTTCACTAGACCATAACATCCACCACTACAAAGAAAACTATACCTGTAAATCATAAACTAAAAGAAAGGCAAGAACTTTTATTTGTTATCTTAATTACTGCATCTCCAACCCATATAACAGTGTGACACGTATTCTGAGCTGGAACAAATTAAGTTGTGTCATAATTCTTGAAAAAGGAGATCTTCAGTTTTGAGACTTGTTAAGCATATTACATGCAGTGGATGGGCAATAACTGCTGAAATGTGTAACAACTCTTCAAACTGAACTTTAAAATTCCCCACCTCCTTGTAGAAGAACCAGGAACCTAGTTTTTGTAGAACACAAAAGCTCATGCCTTTGTACTGTACCAGCTTCCTCCTATTTATTGATATTTCTTTTAGAAAAAATCTATGCCTGTAGTAGGCTTAGGTTGAAAGAATAACTCCAGAGCTACCCCTATTTCTCCATAAAAAGTCACATACTTTAAACTGTTTCCCTATTATCTGGAAGAGTAGACAGTAGAAAATAGAAAAGATCTTTATCACAGGAGTGGTCCAGATTCTTACCCATTCAGATGTCTTTCCAATACATTAGCAGAGATCAGTACTTTAGACATACAATTCATTAGGGTCACTTGTAAAGTGACACAAGTTCTTTAACAAGTTTTAACAATTTAATAAGAATGATGTTTTCTAATGACTCGTCTTCTAAAAATTAAATTAATCCCTAGGTAATTGATATAGTAATATCCATTGCTATTGCAATATGCTTCCTAGAATAGGAGAGACTGGAGAAGTTACTGAAACTATGCATGTGATCCTATGCACAGATGAGCAGTAATCTGCGCCTCCCCCCCCCATACAGGGAATTGAACTCAAGACCTTGCACTTGCCAGGCAGGTGCAGCGCCACTGAGCTATAGCCCCAGCCCAAGTAATCTGTTTTCTGTGGAGTGAATGAAAAGATTTGAAAGCCCTTGTCTTAGATCAAGAGAGACTATGGAATCCCAGAGACCCTAGATGGTTATTAGTCCTGAGTCTATTAGGCAAACACAACAACTATAAAAACCAAATAGGAGCTGGGAGTGGGTGGCACATCCCTGTAGTCCCAGCACTCTGGGTGACTGAGGCCCGAGGATCAAAGTTAGACCCAGGCCTGGGCAACTTAGTGACTTAGCGAGACCTCATCTCAAAATCAGAAAATAAAAAGGGCTTAGGATGTAGTAGTTCAGTGTGAAGGCCCTGGTGGGGTCAGTCCCCAGTACCACCAAAATAACAAGACAAAACAAAACAGCCACCATACAGAGTGGTCTCCCTTACCCAAGATCCTAATAAATGCCTGTGATACTAAACCCTATACATACACTATGTTTTTCCTATACATACCTACCATTAAGTTTAATGTATAAAAAAAAGTTTAATGTATAAATTAGGCACAATAACAGACTAATAATAAAAATGATAAAATAATGCAATCATAACAACACTATAATAAAAGTTATGTGAATGCCCCCCAAGTCCTTATTGTGATAACGTGAGGTGATACAGTGCCTGTATGATGAAACGCTGTGAGGTGAATGACTCAGGCATGCAGCATAACATTAGACCGAACTAGATAAGGACTCCTTTAGCACAGACACTGGGATACTTCACCAAGTGATCTGATAAGCCAAGACAGCTACTATGTGACTGCAGTACAGTTAGAGTGTACAGCACGGATGAACTGGACAAAGGAATAATTCAGGTCTCAGGGGAGATAGAGCAGGATGGCGTGAGATTTCATCACACTACTCACAGCGGTGTGCAATTTAAAACATGTTTATTTCTGAAATTTTCCGTTTAGTGTTTTCATACCATGGATGAATGTGGGTACCTAAAACACGAAGACAAAAACCAGATAAGGGGACACTGTTATATTATAATTGAATATACTTAGTAGGCAACAGTAGCTAATAATCAAAATGAGAAGTGCCATCTTATTTATCAACTGGCATTTGAGATAAAATGGGGTTATTAAGAAAGAAATGAGCTACAAACCTTCCCTGAGAGAAGGAGCTAGAAATGAAGTATTGCAGTGCTAGCTTAAGGATGTGTGTCAGTGGTAGAGTGCTTGCCTAGCATTCAGGAGACCCTGGCTTCAATCCCTAGCATTGAGACGGGGAGCAGGGGGAGCTATAATAATAAAAGCAATCACATTTTATGAGGTTGGCTTTTGTGGGTTTCATTTTAGTTAGTATTCTTTTGGTTCTGCAAAATGGAGATACCTTTATTGATTTTAGGGGGTGTAAAAGTTACACATCACCAGTTGCATTAGTTTTCTAGGGTGACGTTAACAAAGTTTCTGCAGGCTGGATTGTTTAAAAAAACAAATTTATTTTCTCACACTTGTGGAGGTTACAAGCTCAAGATGTCAGCAACCTTGCTTTCCTCTGAGGCCTCTTGCCTTGGCGGGCAGATGGCCTCTGTGTCCTCACATGGTCTTCCCTCCGTGTGTGTCTGTGTCCTGCTCTCCTCTTCTCAAGGAGGATACCGCTCCCTTGATTAGGACCTACCCCAAAGACTTCATTTTAATTGAATCATCTCTTTAAAGACCCTGTCTCCAAACATAGCCTAAAGACTGCAACATAATGAATTTGGAAAGAGACACATTTCAGCCCATAATATCAGTGTAAAAATTTCGAATATCAGCAGATATTTTAAAAATTGACTTCTCCAGCACATTCCTGTCCCACATTCACAACCCTTATATGCACCCTTGCAGGCTAGATATGTTTGGTAAGTAAGACATTTGGGGATTTTTTAAAAGGCAGTACAGTATAAATACTACATTATTAATTGACAGAGGTTTCTCAGATAGTGACCCATAATCAAAAACATTAATATTTCTCAAAAACATAAATATTCCAAAAAACCATAAATGTTTACTTTAAGTGGGAAAATAAAAGCCTATAAACTA